CTTCTCCATCGCTCATCATCTACAACGTCCACAACTTCGGCATCAGTGGCGCCGAGATGACTAAAATCGAAGGTCGTATTCGTTCTGACATCGCCATGGCCCAGTCGGCGCCGAAGATGGTCACGTTGCTGCTGCTCGGCGACTTCAACATCACGGCGGCGCCGCCCCTGCTGGTTCAGACCCCCCTCATCAACAAGGGCCTCGCGCGCATGGACGATGCTGTGCCTCGGCCACTGGAGCGCCGCTGGAATGATATATTCTCTGACTTCGTCAAGCTCCCCACACACTTCTGGCAAGAGGAAGGCTCGCCGCCGAAGCTGTCGCAGATTGACAGAGCGTTCTCAGCCTCTCCTTCGTGGCTGGCGACGCAGTGGCACGTCGCGCTCTCTACGCGTGACATCCCTGAACGGCTTCGTGAGATTGGTCTTAGTAATCATGCGCCCATTGTGGTTACCTTTGCGGGCCGGCCGCCGATGGACAGCGAGTCGCAACCGATCCCACGATGCATCTTCAAGAGTCCCGAGTATGCGAGGCAGCATCGGCTCTTAGCCACTCATGTTCAATGGCATGTTATTCATCCTTATCAGCGGAGACTTGAGCATAGGCGACTCATGCGCGAAGCTGCTCGTCGGGTGCGGGACAGTGTCTTCAAGCACGGAGCTCATGACAACGATTCAAAGTTGCTCATTTTCCGTTCGATCGCCAGAGCGGTCTGGAGGGACGACCTCAAGCTGGCGGAGCGCCTGGTCACATCGTCACCGATCGCTGCCGAGCACCTCCTGATCACCAGCAACTCGGTCTCCCTCTCGAACCCATCGGACTTTGCAGTGGCTTTCGCGGCTGAGCAGAGCATCTTCTCTGAACGCCGACTCGCTGATCTCGATCGTCGGGCCCAGGGGGCCCCTCCTGACGGCGCATCGTTCAAGCACATCATCGCCATGAGGCGGGCCACCAGACGGAGGGCTGCACTCTGGACCCCATTCAAGCGCAGTCTCAAACTTCAGGGATTGCGTCTCCCTGACTCTGGTGGCCCACACGATCTGGGACAGGGAGAGGAAAGAATCGTGAATGCTCAGGCTGACGTGTTCGAGGAGTTGCGCAAGCACTGGTCGCCGATATTCCAGCGCGATCTGCCCGAACACCCCCTTGTGCATCGCTATTTGGACGAGCATCCCGTGGTGATCGAAGGCCTCGAGGACATTCGTCTACCTGACTCTCGCGATCTTCAGCGAGCGGCACGTAGGGCTCGCGCCTCAGCCCCTGGCCCAGACGGACTGCCATATGACGCTTGGAGCTGTTGTGGGTCATCGCGCCATCTGGAAGACCTGGCGCAGGTGGGGCTCGAGGTCGCGCAGGGCTTCCCACCACCGCCTGACCTCAACGACCACCTGATGGTTTTCCTGCCCAAAGGTGCCGAGGGTGACGATCTGGCATCGGGCCCGACTCGCACGCCATCCACGACGAGACCTCTGGCCCTCAAGAACACGGATGTGAAGCTGCTGGCCGCCAGTGTGAATCACCTCATCAAGTTCGACATCGAGCGCCACTCCCCCTCCTCGCAGAGGGGGTTCCTACCTGGGCGCAACTTCCTGGACAACATCACCTTGCTCGACACTGCCGCACGTCGAGTGGGCTTCTCCTCCACCAGAGACCAGCTCATGCCGTTGATGGTCCTCTTTGACTTCGGGAACGCTTCCTCGCCGTCTCCTTCCTGCGCGCAGTGCTGCTGCGGGCTGGCTTCCAGGGCGGCCTCTACCAGCTCATCATGGGCATGTACTGGCTGCCGCAGGCCTTCGTATCCATGGAGGGCGAGCTGCGCCGCTTCATGCTAGTCACGGCGGGCATCGCTCAGGGCTGCCCGCTCTCAGGGTCCTTGTGGGCTGTAGCCATGAACCCCTTCGTGGCCCACATGGAGCACATCCTCGAGCAGTGGGAGTCCTCCGTGGTGGGCGTCTGTGCGGACGATGTCGGCACGGTCCTGCAGGATTGCAGGCTTCTTCTCCGCCTGCGCAGGGTCTTCACTGCGGCACACACATTGGCAGGTCTGGCCCTGAAGCTGGCCAAGTGCAAGGTCGTGCCCCTGAATGCCGCATTCTCCATGGAGCTGGCTACAAACAACAAGGAGTGGCTCGCCCTGGAGCTGCCTGGCTGGGAGCAGATGGGCGTTGTTCCTTTTGCCAAGTACCTAGGCTATATCCTGGGCCCTGGAGCCACGATCGATGACGCGTGGCAGGAGGTCGGCGCCAAATGGATCCATCGCATCCGCGACCTCGCTCGCGAGGGAGCGCCGGTGCACGTCACGACTGTGATCTACAATTCGCGCGTGCTCACGGTCCTCAGCTACCTGATGCAGCTGGTGCCGCTGCCCCGCGCCCTGTCCAGGCGTGAGGCTTGGGCTTGGCACAAGATCTGGCATCTCCCGCCGCAGTCGATCTCGCTCGCTGGACTCCAGGGCATCGGGAGCTGGTCGACGCTGCGGCCTGCCAGCATGCAAGTCCTGAGCTTGGCCTCTCGCATGCGCACAGCCATCAGCACGGTCACCAACTGGTCGCCCCTGCTCAAGGCGCTGCATGAGGCGACGCTCGCCCACGGCAGCCTCGCGGAGGTGGGCTCTGGCTGGTGGTCGCCCGTCCTCCTGGAGAACAAAACCGATCGTGGTCCACATTTCTGAGGCCAGCAGGGCCGCGTTCCCTCTGAAGGCCCACGCCTCGGCCGCCCGCACTGCCCTGACCGCCCCTGCCGAAGCCTCAGAACTGAGGCGCGTGAAGGTGCAGAGATCCCTTTCCTCCTCTCTTCGCCTCGCTCTTTTCCCCGACGTCCTCCACCTCACTCTTGCTGAGCGCATGGCCTCGTGGGAGCTCCCATTTTCGGAATCGCTCTGGGGCGCCCTCAGAGATCTCATTCGCAATGGAGGCCCTCCAGCATGGCAAAGTGCTGTCCTGAAGACAATTGTAGGAGGTTGGCTCACCAGCGCACGTTTGCACTCGTCAGAGATCGGCCTGTGTAGATTCCAATGCGCCCAATGCCGAGACGACATGTTGCACTATATTCATCGCCCTGTCCTTTGGAGGCTTGTATACCATCCTGACCCGCCTCCTGTTTGCCCCTCCACGCGTCTTGGGCTCGATGGTCACCCTTCGCCCGAGATCGTCGAGAGGATTGCGCGGGCTTATCACATATATAATATTGTCCGCACCGCCCCCGCTCTCGGCCCTCTCGACAGCGAAGAGGCTCTAGGGAGGCATCATTACAATATACGGCGTGCTGCCCAGACCCTTGTAGAGCACTCTAGAGCGCCCTTCTAGGTCTGTTCGGCGGGACCCGTCTGGACTCCTCAAGGTACGAGTGACACACACACACACGCACGCACGCACGCACACACACACACACACACACACACACACACACACACACACACACACACACACACACACACACACACACACACACACACACACGCACCCTAATACCCGAAAACCTCATCCGCTCCCCCTCCTCCTCCAGAGCAGGTGGCAATGACGAAAGCAAGCCCACCCGCGCCCGATTGAAGCACCATGGGCTCTTGAAGACAAGGATGGCCCCAAGATGACCTCAGGGAACCCCGAGACTTCCTTGAGATTCCTAAGAATTCCTGAGGTTTCGTGGAGGCTCCCGTGGGATTCCGCAGGGATTCCTAACGATTCCGGAGGATGTCCTTAAGATTCCTTCAGGATTCATTCGGATTCCTTCGGGTTCCTGGAGGCTTCCTGGACAAATCCTTAGGTTTCCTGCAGGTTCCCTTTGGATTCCTGAAAAGTTCTTTAGGATTCCGAGAGATGTCCTTAGGATTCTTGGAGAATCCTTTAGGACTCCTCGGGATTCCCGAGGAATTCCTTGGGATTCCTGAAGAATTCCTTCGGATTCCGAAGGAATTCCTTAGGTTTCCTTGAGAATTCCGGAGGATCATTCGAAAATTCTTGAAGATTCCTCACAGCGTGCCGGCCATAAGTCAAGTGTGGCGGATGCGTAGTTTCTACCGGGTCTTCGTACACCTGCTTTTCACCTGTATAGGAAACCAACCAAACTACCGGCCATAAACACGCCGGCCATAGACGACGGGTGGCCCTACTACTACTACTACTACTACTACTATTACTACTACTACTACTACTACTACTACTACAACTACTACTACTACTACTACTACTACTACTACTACTACTACTACTACTACGACTAACACTACTACTACTACTACTAACTACTAACTACTACTACTACTA